GTGCTGCAGCGTGTGCTGGACGTCAAGTGGGAGCTCTTTGGCGCCCGCAAGTACTACCAGCAGCTGCTCTTGTACGTCCTCATGATCGGCGCCGTGCTCACGACGGTCACGTACGACTTTCGAATGCGAGCCGCCGTCATCGCGTCGCGGGCCATCGAAGACGACGAGCGCGAGGCCGTCCAGCGCGCTCGCAAGCTCATCTACTCGTTTCCCGTGCAGCTCACGCTGTGGCTCATCGTGGTCATCTTTGCCTTTTTCGCGTTTGTTCATCTGCGCCACCTCAAGCCGCACAAGTTCACCAAGCTCACGCGCTGGATGTACGACGGCAAGTACGTCTTCGACCCGGCGTTTGCAATCCCCGAGGCTGCTGTGTACAAGGCCAAGGCCAAGGCGTGGCTGCTTCGGCGCACGATTCTCTGGACCGTCCTCGTTGCGACGCCGATCGTCGTGGTGTACGCCCTGCGTCGCCAGGAAGGCAACAGCATGCCCGATTTGATCCTCGCGATGTCGGCCTTCCTTGGCTACTGGCTCATTGCCTTCTACTTTCTCCACCTCGAAGTCCAGGAGCTCCTTGGCGAAGACCCGTGGCTCGTCCAGCGCCGCGCCAAGGCCAACCTTTTCGGCAAGGTGTTTTGGTCGATTGTCATCATCTTCTACGTGCCGATCACGCCGTTCTTGATGTCGTACCGCAAGTACTATGCGTCGTTCACCAACAAGCTCCAAGTGATCACGTACCTCTGCCTCCTCGGGCCCTTTTTCTGGCTCCAGCTGGCCCAGTTATTGATCTCGAGTGTCAACTACGGCAATCAGGACTGGCAGATTGAGATGTACACGTCGGTGAACGGCGTCTTCGTCTGCCTCGGCGCGTTCATCATTTTGAGTCTCTGGATGCTCTCACTCCAGTACCTCGAGGTCAACAAGACCGCCGGCTACCTCCTCCCGATCGTCAAGGACGTCATGGGCGACGTGTGGGACTTCCTCATCTTCTACGGCGTCTTCCAGTGCGGCCTCACGTGCGCGTATTACTTTATCTTTCAGCAAAAGTCCGACAGCTACAAGACGCTCTGGGCCAGCTTCCGCGCGACGTACTTTGTCATGTACGGCGAGAACGGCGTCGGCGACTTCAACGCCAAGGACGACGACAAGAAGCACCTTCTCGAAGGGCCGATCATGCACTTTGGCTTCATTCTGCGCATGTTCCACTGCGCGGTCATGGTCGTTTTGCTTCTCAACCTCCTCCTTGCGATGATGAACAAGACGGTCGATCGCAACTGGGCCAAGCTCCAGTCGCGGGCGCTGGCGAGCTACGCGCGCTGCGTGCTGCGCCTCGAGACGATGCTCGGTCGTACCGAGGCGGCCCGCGAGAATCTGCTCCAGATGAAATTGCCGAAGTCGGCTGGCGGCGGTACGATGCGCAACCCGGTCTTTCAAGAGCGCGTCGCCAAGCACGAAGTGACCGCAGCGCTGGACGGAGACGCGAATAACGAGACGCTCGAAGCCACGGTGCAGTACCTGGCGGAGCAGAACGAGCGCTTTGGCTCGCAGCTCACGGCGCTCAACGCGTCGGTGCAGACGCAAATGCAAACGATCCTTCTCGCGACGCAAAAGCTCCATCGCGATTAAAGAGATGCCAACATGAGATGGGCGACTTGCATTTTTGCTATATTTTTTGTTGATCAAACCGCCCTATGAATTTATCCAACTAGACTAACGAGACGACGGTAACTAGACGACGGCGCAGTATTGCACTGTCGACGGTCCTGCGTTCTGGAGCGTCGCGAGCGCAGGGACAAACACGCCCGCGTCGTTTGTGAGCAGCATCGTTCCGTCGTCCGAAGTGCGAAATTCGATCGCGTGGCCGTGCGCCGCGTCGGGCAGCGCGACCATGGCCGTCGTGCTCCATAAATTCACTGACGCGTAGATCAGGTAGAGATCGGCGACTGGCATGAGCAGCACGCAGCGGTGGTCGAGCACAATCGAACGCGACCCGGCAATAAGCCGCGCGAGGTCAAAGCCGGCGCAGACGCGGTGCTGGTCAATGACCTTGAAGAACGAGTTGTCGCGGTGGTTGGGGCACGTCCATGAGAGCAGCGATCGCATAAGAAGCGCCAAGAGGACGTCAAAGCCGATGGCGAGCCCGTGGTTCACGAGGAGGCTTTGCCAGTCCTCCGAGTCGGTGAACGAGCCTTTGTACAAGCCGTGCGCCTGGTCGACGACGTTGACGCGGTCGGTCAAGTAGAGCTGGCCCCGAGTCCGTGTCGCGACGAAAGAAGAAACGATGAAGGCAAAGACGAGGGTTCGACACGAGCAGTACATCTCGAGGAGCCGGAGTTGCTGCAGTGGCCAGTTGAAACCATTCGGCAGCCGGATCGTCGTCACAACAAATCGAATGCACGTCCAGACGCCGATGCTCACCCAGGCGTGGCGCATCGCGTACATGGCGCCCTTGATAAAGTACGTGGCGCCACCGCTGATGGTCCACTCGTAGTACAAGACCTCGACCAGCATTTGCGTCTCCGCGGTCGTCCCGATACCGTACATACAGTTGCCGATGAGGTACCACGGGTTGACGAGCCAGATCTGCGAGAGACTCATCGTGGCGACGCCGCTGTTGAGGGTTGGGGTTGCCTGCCGCCGGCCAATGAAAGTGTCCACCATCACATCGTAGTGCAGGCGCGAGACAGTGGGGATGTGCGTCACGAGCCAATAGGACGACCGAACGAACTCGCGGAGCAGCACAACGATGACGATGAGCTGCCCGCCAATGTCCAAGAAGGACATCAGCAC